CAAAACCAATAGTTTTTCATTTTATATATATGATATATATTATTAATCATATTTTATGTTAAAAATCATATTATACTAATTATATAACGTGTCATATTATATATTTACGTAGAGATTATTTGGGTCGCCTGGGTGGCTCAGTTAGTTAAGCGACTGCCTTTGGCTCAGGTTATGATCCGAGGGTCCTGGGATCCAGTCCTGCATCGGGCTCCTGGCTCAGCGGGGAGCCTGCTTCTCCCTCTGCCTGCCACTCCCCCTGCTTGTGCTCTCTCTCTGTCAAACACATAAATTAAGAACCTTTTGAAAAAAAAAATTATTTATGTTTGTGTTACTGTATTTATTAATTTACACATTCTTTATTAATATATATTATACAATTATTGTACTTTTGTGTTATACAATTATGTGCAATTACATATAATTTTATATATAATTATAGATGTCTTTTACATGTAATATATAGACTATATTATATGCCTTCTATATTATCTTGTACATGAGTTTATTTATTTTGAGAGAGTAAGCAGGGCGAGGGCAGAGGGAGAGGGAGAATCTCAAGCAGACTCTGTGCTGAGTGCAGATCTCACGACCCCGAGATCATGACCTGAGCCGCAATCAAGAGTCAGACGCTCACTCACTGAGCCGCCCAGGCGCCCGGAGTAGGTGTATTTTCCACGCACAGGACTTACTCCAAGGCAGCGGCTCACACCCCGTGGGGACAGGGACGGGGACGGGCGGGTCTGAAATGCACGGGGCAGGCTGGGGTTGCACGCTCTGGTGGCACCATTGGCCGGAGGCAGAGTTACTTCTTCTTCGGGGAAACCTCGATGCCTTTCGGTGGCAGGAGACCCACATTGTCGCGTAGAGTGTCTTTTCCTTAACGTCCCAGCGTTGTGGATGTCCGTCTACCAAACACCTTGATAGCAACACCTGGATGGTGTTTGATCGACTAACCGTGGCCAGGGATCTGTCCTCACTCCGCACAGGATGGGGATGTAGCCCAGAGCCCCAACACCCAACGTGCATTTGTTAACTGAGGGAAAAGGAGGTGCTAGTTCTGTTCCCATTTTACAGAGGAGGGAAACCGGCTCAGAGCAGGAAGGGTACCACCCACGTGAGTTGCACTGCAAAGTAGAAGAGTGGGACTGTGCTTCCAGGTTCTCTCAGACATCCGCTCTGTCTCCCTGGGGCCTCAGTTTCCCCGTCTGCACCGAGCAGCTGGATGCTTTCCCCACCTGGACGTTTCAGCTGCCGCCGGGCCACGTTCCGCTTGGTTGTGGCTTTACGTGGACCCGTCCAGGGTTGGGAAGCTGAATCACATCCTGATAGGAACCAGACAGCCCGGGCTGCAAAACAGCGCAGCTTCCTTCCGGTGGGGGAGGGGGGAGATGGTGGCAGGACAGGGGGTCCAGAGGACCCCTGGCTGGACGGAGGACCGGGTGCCCAGGCCCATGGATTTTTCCGATGTCCCACTGGGGTCGGTGCACGTGAGCTGAAAGAGCACAAGGGGGCGGTAGAGAGCAATGACTAGAATCAGCTCGCCACTGGGTGGTTCCTACTCCCCTCCCCCCAGGGAGTCCCAAGGCCAGCCTCAGTTTCCTCCTCTGTGCAGTGGGCTCCTCCCTGCCTGCTAGGAGTGCTGTGAGGAGCAAGTAAGATCATGCCATGAACATCCCAAGCCGGCACGCAGGGAGTGCCCTGCCCATGGGGTAAGTTAGATTCCAGACCAGGAATTGCAGCCAGAGACATCAATGGGCGCCGGGCAGGCAGTGGACATGCTAGAAGGAGCCAGAACAACATTCCAGCACCCAGGGGAGCAGGAGTGGCCCACAATCCGCTCCTGGTGGGTGGCTGCCACAGAGGGCAGGTCCGTGGTTGAAGAAAAGACAGAAATCCAAAGCTTTTGTGTCACGTCTCTGATTTGACAGCAAACCTAAAATGTTTTTAAATGCTGCGTGGGCAGGACAAAACTAGAGGTGGCGCCTCCACCGTCAGTCTGCAGTTTGGGGTAACCTGGCAGGTGGCGGGTGTGTTTCCGGGGCTCCGGGGCCCTGAACTCCTTCATGAGTCACCCATGTTGAGAGCCCCAGACAACAGGGAGCAGTAGGGACACGAAACGGGCCTGTACATTGGCTCGTCAGCCCCGTCTGCCTCTTCTGACTTTATTCCAAGCTTGTTTTTCTTTTAAGTGAGGGAAAATTCCCGGAGCGTGAAAGCAACGGTCTTAAGTGCACCACTCAGTGGCATTTGGTACATTTACGATGTTGTGCAGCCCCCACCTCTCTCTAGTTCCAGAACATTCCATCACCCCAAAATGAGACTTCGTCCCCCTCGGCAGCCACTTGTTACCCCATCTCCCCACCCCCAGCCCCCATGAGCCCCCTTCCCGTCCGTGGATGAGCCTGATCTGGACGTGTCACCCACGTGGACTCACACCCCATGTGGCCTTCCGTGTCTGGTTCCCTCTCTGAGCATCGTGGGCTCAGGTCCGTCCCCGGGCAGCGCGTGTGGGCGCCGCACTCCTGCTTGCGGTCGATGTGTCGCGATCTGTCGATGGGCATTTGGAGTGTTTCCACGTTTTGGCTGCTGTGAATCATGTCGCTATGAACACGGGGGTGTGAGCTTTTGTGTGGACACGTGTCTTCACTTCCTGTGGGCCTGTTCAGTGTGGACCTTTGAGCTGCATGGGAGCAGAGTGAGGTCCCATTCTTCCCTTACCCCCCAGACCCTCCACTGCGCCTGGGGGGTAGTGGTTGCTCAAGGAACACTGGAGGTTTGATGAGTGGGAGGAAGGGGAGCAGAGGAAGAAGGGCACCAGCCTTGAGAGGAACAGAGGCAGCGAGGGAATGAATGGTTTTCAAAAGGAAAGGAAAATGCATTCCATCACTCCATGCCCTCCTCTCCTGAACAGCTCCCCATTCAGCTCTGCTGGCGCTGCTGGGTCACAGGGGTGAATTAGCACTTTCCCGAGTCAGCATGCCCTGAGCTAGAGCGCTCCGCAAAAGTTCTGCCTCGTTGACTATTTCCCGGGAGCAAAGGAGCTGGAGCGTCTGGGTCAAACTCAGGCAGCGTGAGCTTTCGCTCCCAAAAGTGGCCTGGGCATTGCCAGAAAAAAAAAGGTCTTATTTTGGGGCGCCTGGGTGGCTCAGTCGGTTAAGCACCGACTCCTGATTTCGGCTCAGGTCATGGTCTCAGGGAAGTGAGATCGAGCCGCGCGTCAGGCTCTGTGCTCAGTGCGCAGTCAGCTTGTCCCTCTCTCTCTGCTCGTCCCCTGCTTGTGCTCGCTCTCTCTCTCTCTCTCTCAAATAAAGAAACAAAATCTTTAAAGAAAAAAAAAGTCTTATTTTGCAAATCCATGCTCAGCCAAGGATTAAAAGGGGATAAATGCATAGTTGGCAGCATTATTTAAAAAAACAAAACTTTTGGGCGCCTGGGTGGCTCAGTGGTTAAGCGTCTGCCTTCGGCTCAGGTCATGATCCCAGGGTCCTGGGATCGAGCCCCACATCGGGCTCCCTGCTCAGCGGGAAACCTGCTTCTCCCTCTCACACTCCCCTTGCTTATGTTCCCTCTCTTGCTGTATTTCTCTCTGTCAAATAAATAAATAAAATCTTAAAAACAAAACAAAAAAACAAAACTTTACCTTTTAGAAGTTTTAGATTTACAAGGGCACCTGGGTGGCTCAGTCGGTTGAGCGTCCAACTCTTGATTTTGGCTCAAGTCATGGTCTCAGGGTCAGAAGATCGAGCCCTGCATCGGGCTCCACCCTTAGTGGGGAGTCTGCTTCTCTCCCTTTCCCTCTGCTTCTCACCCCCCACCTGTGTCTCTCTCTAAAAAAAAAAAAAAAGGTAAATAAATAAATAAAAGAAGTTTTAGAATTACAGAAAATTTGCAAGAATATTACAGAAAGTTTCCGTATGTTCTGCATTCAGCTTGTCCTATGATTAACATCCTGTATTAGAAGGGTTCATCTGTTACAGTTAATAGACCCATGTTGAAACATTCTCAGCAAAGTCCACAATTTATTCCGATTTCCTCAGTTTCCTCCCATGTCCCTTTTCCGTCCCAGGCTCCCACGTGACATGAGGTCATCATGTCTCCTTCGGTTCCTCCGGGCTGGGACAGTTTCTCCGACTTCCCTGGTGTTTGATGCCTCTTGACAGTGGTGCGGAGGACGGGGAAGGGGTTTTGTAGGAAGCCCCTTCCTTGGATTTGTCTGGGGTTTTTCTCATGGTGAGACCGGGGGGATGGGTTTAGGGAGGAAGACCCCCGAGTCAAGTGCCCCGAGATGGCATCAGGGAACGTGCCATCACCATGGCTTGTCACTGCGGACGTTGGCCTCGGTCCCCTGGCTGAGGTGGGTGGTCAGGTGTCTCCACTCTTGGTCACTCGCTTCCCCTCTGCATGCTGGGGCTGGAGAGGGACACTCTGTAAGCCCACGCTTACAGAGAAAGGAGTCCTTCTCTGTCTCCTTGATGGCAGAGAAATCGACATCATTATTTGGAATTCTTCTGCACAGAAAATTTGCCTCTTTTCCCTATTTATTCATTCATTTATTTACATCTTTATGGACTCATAAGATGTATTTTGTTGCTCGAACTGTTCCGGCGCTGGCCATGGAGAGCTCTTCTGGTTGATCACTGTGTTTTCTTGACAACTTCTTGCAGCATTTAGTAGCCAAAACTCATCAGAGACCACGCTGTGCTGGGCCACCCCTGAAAAGTACTGCGTATATTCCAAAGTGAAACTGTGTGACACGGTACTGCATGAGACCCTCCTTCTCTCTGGGCTTTGGCCTTCTGCATCCAAAAGGAGGAAAGAACAGCTTAATATCCACGAGACCATCTGAAGGGAGCCCTCCGGCACTGATGTGTTATGATTTTCTGTGCCGACGAGCAGGTGCGTTCTGTCCCAGTCACTCCCCAGAACTAACCGAGTCTTGTTGCTATTTGTTTGCACCCTGCGCTCCGGTGGCTGATGTTTGCGCTCGGCCGGGTCTGCAGGCCACTCCAGGAAGAGACGGGGATGGACCCACTTGGCAGCCCCACGGAAGACACGTCCTGTAAGTATCTGCTTCAGTGTGCAGAAATGGGCGCACTGTTTCCAGATCTTGCTCTGCCTGAGGCTGAGACTATAGACATGTCAGAGGCCATACCTCCTGGGTGGAGTGTCAGGGAAGGGGGTTGTTCTGCCCGGAAGCCTGGAGGGAAAGCAGCCAGGGTGGGTGAGAGACATGTGGGCCTGGTCACGAGGCTGGCATGTGGTGTTGCTATGTGTCCTTGAGGCTGGTTGTTCAGCCTCTCTGTGCCTCCGAGTCCTTATCTATTAAATACAGGTAGTGAGCTTCCTGCCAAAGGGAGCATGCAAGGACTTAATGAGGTGACATGTATAAAGTGCCCAGGGGTTGCCAGGCATAAAGTTAGCCCTGGGAAGGCTCTGTTGCCCTAAGCACTCAGGAGGGCTCAGGGCTCCAAGGTTCCAGAGGAGCTGTCCTGAACGTGTGTTCTTCTCCGTGGCATCTCCTCAGAGTCCTGCTGGGGGCCCCCCTTCTGCCTGCATTTCCCCCTTGTGGCTCATCACAGTGCCCACCCTTTCTGAGAAAAGACTGACCAGAGAGGGACAGCCACATTCTTGACATCACACAGCACTGAGAGAGGGGTGCGTCCCCTTTGGACCCCTGTTTCCTACTTCTGTACAATGAAGAGTGTGTAATAACAGTACCCCACTTCCTAGGTGTGGCTGGTTGAATAACAGCCCCCAAAGATACTCAAATCCTAACCCTGGAATCTGCGAATGTCCGCCCACATGGCCAAAGGGACTTTGCAAAAGAGATTTATTGAGTTAAGGAGTTGGAGAAGACGTGATGATGAATTTTATGTGTCCACTTGGCTGGGCCACAGTACCCAGAGATGTGATCAAGCATTATTCTAGGTATTCCTGTTGAGAGTCACTTCTTTGATGAGATTAACATTTAAATGAGTAGACTCTGAGTAAAGCAGATTGCACTCCATAATGTGGGTGGGCCGCATCTAATCAGTCAGGGGCCATTAAGAGGAAGAAGACTCAGGTGTGGTTCATCCTGGGGCAAACCCTCTTCAGCTGTGAACATGTGACACTGGACAGGTTATCTGCTTCCAACATATGATGGTGGGACAGGCGTGGGATAGACATTACCTCTGCCTTGCTTCCCTGCTGGGGAGAAGTGCTGTGCGGACACCCCCAGGCTCCCTGTCACCATGCTATGACCTGCAGCTCTGCCCCCTCCGGGAGAGGGAGCCCTGCTTCTACCAAGCACCCCTGACTCACCACTCCCCACCTGCTGTGCTGCCCTCACCAGCCAAGTGGTCCTGGCAGTCACCGCCTCAGTGTCCCCATCTGTAAAGTGGGTGACGTGGCTTGCCACACCAGGTCATGGTGAGATCTAGAAATCATGTCATTTACCTCCCAGTGTCTCATGAAGCAGTCACCTCTGACCCGTGGCTTAGGGCCAGAGAAAGTCAAAGAAAATAAAAAGTGAGGAGCTGGTGCATGTAATTGTGGATTGATGAATGTCTTCATCTGGTGGGAGAGGGGCAGGGCTCTCTCCCTGGCTCGCTATTTTGTCCTCACCGTCCTCCGATGAAACTGGGGGTGACTTCCCAAGGTCTCTGGAAGAGTGCCTCTTTCCCTCGAGCTGGCTTGGGGGCAGCAGGGGGGCACTTTCCTCGAAGGGAAGGTAATCTCCGTCAACCCCGAGGGGCCAGCTCTGCTCAGCCCGCTGAGGGATCGGCTCCAACCCCTTGGGGGCAGCCCCGGGGCAGGTAGGGAAGCCACTTTTTACAAGGAGACCAGAGTCCCAGCTCAGAGCGTCCAGGAGAAAGCAGTTCAAACCATGAGGCATGCCCACCCTGACCAGCTCCCGAGAGATCCGGAAGGACCTGCACCCTCCGTGCCTCAGTTTGCTCACCTGGTGAAGGGGATAATAACAGAACTTGCCTCGCATGGATATTGCAAAAATGAAAGCACTTCGCAGAGGGCTGGGCCCACGTGGCGTGGTGTCAGTTATTAAAGCGGCGGACATACGGAGAGGTGAAAAGTAGCATGGGGGGCGTTCTCTGCCGCCCGTGTCCCGAGGCAACAGTGATCAGATCCTGGTGGGTCCGGAGCCGGGCAGGGTGCCCAGGGGGCTCATCCCGTGTGAGTCCCATCTGGCAGATGGTAAAAGTAAGTCAAGCTTAGAGAGTCGAGGTGTCTGCAGGGTGGAAGTTTCCAGCATTGAACCCTGCCTGCCCCAAAGGATGGCCTCTGACTTCTCACCATTCCACATGATGGGGCGACAAAGAAAGGGGACAAAGAAAGAACCAGCGAAGGTGATTTTGTCCCATTTTCCACACAGCCCCTCCCAACACGTTGAACTTCAACGGAGCTCATCGGAAGCGGAAGACACTGGTCGCCCCGGAGATCAACATCTCCCTGGACCAGAGCGAGGGTTCCCTGCTGTCTGATGACTTCCTGGACACTCCCGATGACCTGGACATCAACGTGGACGACATCGAGACCCCCGACGAGACCGACTCGCTGGAGTTCCTGGGGAACGGCAATGAGCTGGAGTGGGAAGGTGAGGCCCAGGGGCTCAGGTGGGGCAGGGGCTCCGACCCAGGGCGCACAGAGCAGCCCAGAGAGCGCCCGTCCCCTGCTGCTTCGCCGCATGCGTTCTTCTTGTGGGCTTGAGGGTTTTTCTGGGGGGACGTGGCTTTCGCATGGTTCTCAAAGGTGACCCGGTCCAAAGTGAAGTGCCTGCAATGATTGCACAAGTGTGTGGGGAACATTGTGCAGGAGCAGGTCCTGACTGAGGTGCGGGGCAGGCGGCGGGGACACGGCAGGGGAGGTGGTGCCCGGCCCCATGCGCGGCCCTCGGCAAGACAGACGCTAGACGACGAAACACAGATGCACAAGCTCGTTGCCGTGGTCATCGGTGCTCAGAGGAGAGCGGGGTGAGGGCTTGGGACGGGGGGGGGGGGGGGGCTCACCTGAGGGGCGGTCCTGCCGCAGGGGTCACGGGGCCATGCCTGGGGACGTCTGGGGCTGTCACACTGGGGGTGCTCCTGGCATTGACAGGAAGGAGGCCTGCTCAGCTCCCCCACCAGCACCCAGGACGCTCCGAGTTTTCTGCAGTGCCAAGAGGGAGAAGGATTTATTTGTTTATTTTTTTTAAAAGATTATTTATTTATTTATTTATTAGAGAGTGCGCAGGAGAGAAACAGCATGAGAGGGGAGAGGGTCAGAGGGAAAAGCAGGCTCCCCGCTGAGCCGGGAGCCCGATGTGGGACTCGATCCCAGGACCCTGGGATCATGACCTGAGCCGAAGGCAGACGCTTAACCAACTGAGCCACCCAGGCGCCCCAGGTGTTAATTTTAAAAAGATTTTACGTATTTATTTGACAGAGAGAGAGAAAGAACAGGAGCAGGGGGAGGGGCAGAGGCAGAGGAGAAGCAGGCTCCCTGCCGCCAAGCAGGGAGGCCGATGTGGGACTTGATCCCAGGACCCTGGGATCATGACCTGAGCAGAAGGCAGACGCTTCACCGACTGAGCCACCTAGTCGTCCCTGGTGTTACCTCTTTAGATGTTTGCTGGTATTCAGCCACGAAGCCACCTGGCCCTGGGCTTCCCTGTGCTGGGGGGTTTCCATCACTGATCCGATTTCCCTGCGTGTTCAGAGGCTCTGGGTCCAAAACCAACAGAGTGCTCTGGGAGGCCAGCAAACGGGAGGCCCCAGAGGGCTTCCTGGAGAAGGTGGCATTTGAGCTGGGCCATGAAGGGAGAGTAGGAGGGGCAAATGGACGAGCAGGGCCTCTGGGCAGGGAGAAGTACATAGCCAAGTGTCACGGGAGGAAGATGAGGGTCACACGTCCACAGACAGCAGGGGAGAGGGGTACCGGGCGGGAGGCTGGGACAGAACGTCTGGACTCAGGCGTCCCTTCTGCTCGCCCTGGCCTGCTTCCAGATGACACCCCCGTGGCCGCTGCCAAGAACATGCCCGGGGACAGTGCAGACCTGTTTGGGGATGGTGCAGCAGAGGATGGCGGTGCCACCAACGGACGCCTGTGGAGGACAGTGATCATTGGAGAACAAGAACACCGAATTGACCTGCACATGATCCGGCCCTACATGAGGGTAGTGACCCACGGAGGTGAGACCGCACCCGTCGGGCTCCGCCTGGCTCCCGCCAGCCAACTGGAGGTCGTCAGAGGCCCTCTCTGAACCTCAGTCTCTTCATCTGAGCCACAGGGATGTTAAGTCCTCATCCCCGGGGGCGGGGGTGGGGAGGGCAGGCACGGACCGGCTGGGCGCACACAGGGGTGCCTGCGAGGGTGGCCGGACAGCCCAGGGCTTTGCTGACTCCCCCAGCCAAAGCGCTGCGACTCAGAGCTGTACCCTCCGGGAAGGGGCCTCGCTGGCAAAGAGGTGGGCACCTGGGCCAACTCAGAGCGCCAACCACTCCCTGGCCGCCTCTCCCCAGGGTACTACGGCGAAGGTCTCAACGCCATCATCGTGTTTGCTGCCTGCTTCCTCCCAGACAGCAGCTCCCCCGACTACCACTACATCATGGAGAACCTCTTCCTGTAAGTGGCCCGCCCGCCCCACGCCCACGGTTCCCTCGGCTGCAAGAACCGCCCATCCTCACCCCCGGCACGACCCCGGGGGGAGGGGCGGTAGGCAAGTGCGACACCTGAGACTCGGGGAGGTTGCGTCACCTGGCCGGGGACACCCTGCTACAGCTGGGTTATGACGGGGACAGACACGACACCTGGAGGGTAACAGAAAGGGCCTCCGTAAATCGTGATCACTCCGGTGTTTGTTATTAGGAAGGTTTCCCTCTTACCCGGTGGGGCTGGGCTGCCAGGTGGTTCAGAGGATGACCGACCGGTCAGAGCAGGAAGAGGCCCCAGAAAGCAGGGAGCCCCCCATCCCCCCCACTTACGGGGGGGAAGTAGAGGCTGAGACAGAGGAAAAGATTTTTCTAAAATTGCTCAGGGAGAGTCGGGGCAGGGACGGACCCAGACGCCTCCTGCCCAGTGCAGTGGACTGTCCACTGGGGGGTGCGTGTTCCCCAGCTGGATCTGGGGCTCTGAGATCCACCTGTCAGGATTCGCGGAGACGCTGGATAAGGTCATGCCTATAAAACACGTGGTGCCTAATAAGTGCTCCGTAAAATTGTAATTCTGCAATGGTTGTGCCCACTGACACTGATTTGGGGTAGGCTGGGCTTTACATGCACCCCCACCCCGAGTTCCCAGGACGCCCCCCACCCCGCACCTGAGGAGGTGCCACAGGTGTTCAGTCGGGGGGACTGGGGCTCCCTAACTCTGGCCCCCCCGCCGGGCCCCCCCCCCTCGCCGTCTCCTGCACCTGTGACCAGGTACGTCATCAGCAGCCTGGAATTGCTGGTGGCCGAGGATTACATGATCGTCTACCTGAACGGAGCCACGCCCCGGCGGAGGATGCCCGGCATCGGCTGGCTGAAGAAGTGTTACCAGATGATCGACAGGAGGTGCGTGGTGGGGCGGGGCCGCTGGGGGTGCAAGGGCCCCGGGGCCCCCTGGAAAGCGGCGTGGTGGTCAGCCCGCCAACCGATGACCGCAGACGGGCGGTTTGAAACCCACAGGCATGTTTGCCGTCCCGGCTCAGGAGGCCAGAAGCCGAGTTCCTTCTGAGGGCCGTGAGGGGGAGTCTGTTCCCCGTGTCTCCCGGCTCCTGGGGGTCGTCGGCCATCCTCGGCGTCCCTCGCCCCATCCCTGCCTCCGTGGTCACGTGGCCTGTCCTCGTGTGTCTGTGTCCAGACACCTCCTCTTTATAAGGACCCCAGCGATTGGATTAGGGCTCACCCTGCCCCGGTGTGACCTCGTTTTAGCGAAATACATCTGTGATGACCTTATTTCCCAATGTCCCGTTCTGAGGTCCAGGGGGGTCAGGACTACAACATAGGAATTTGGGGGGAGATGCAGTATGACATGACCACAGCTGGCGGTCAGAACCAGGGCGCCCCGGGAGATCTTCCAGGAATTCGAGGCAGCATGGCCACGCAGGCAAGAGCTCAGACTCTGAATGAGGTGGCAGCGGGACTAGACGTCAGGGTGGCCGCCCATAGACTCCGCGATGGGGCCCAGCTTCGCAGCCCCTCCTCCTCCGTGGAGACTGGAGATGAGCTCAGGGGGCAGAGGCGCCCGCTGGGAGCACAGGGGACGCCGCCCCTGTTAGCTCCTCCCTCCCGGGGGCTTGCTTCCTCTGCTTCCCCTGCAGATTGCGGAAAAACCTGAAGTCCCTCATCATCGTGCACCCCTCCTGGTTCATCCGCACGGTGCTGGCCATCTCCCGTCCCTTCATCAGGTAACGACGCTGTGCCCTGTGCCCTATGCCGGGCCTCTTCCCGGGTTATGTGCGTCTCCTGTTTTAATCTGTATTTTGCAGCATCTCTACCATGAATATGTATTGTTGCTTTATTATTTTTTTAAGGTTTTATGTATTTATTTGTCAGAGAGAGAGAGAGAGAGCACAAGCATGGGGAGCATCAGGCAGAGGGAGAGGGAGAAGCAGGCTCCTCGCTGAGCAGGGAGCCCAATGCGGGACTCGATCCCAGGACCCTGAGAACATGACTTGAGCAGAAGGCAGACGCTTCACCGACCGAGCCACCTAGGCGTCCCTGTATTGATGCTTTAAACCATTTTCAATCCCATGTGTTGTTATTAAGGGACTAGCACAGGAAAAATACTAGCAAGAAGCCCTCCCATAGTAAATGCTGGATACCTTTTCACGTTTACAACCACGACCTGAGAGGCTGATGCTGTCGCGAACCCATTTCACGGAGGAGGGAACTGGGGCTCAGAAGGGTCAAGGGACTCAGCCGAGGTCACGCAGCCAGGTCGCTAGGCCACCACAGTCCCCCCAGAAGTGAGCCCAGCTCTGTTCACTCCAGCATCTGTGCGGGGACCCTGAGGATGCCAGGAGGGTCTGAGCCCCTCCCAGCAATAATGTCACGAGCCGTGTGTGTTGGGGGTCCTCGAGACCACCCTCAGCTGTGACGATTCACCGGAAGGACTCACAGAACTCAGAGAGGCTGTTACTGTTTGCTACAGGGGAAGGATGCAGATCGAAGGTGGAAAGGACAAAGGGGTCCCCTCCCACGGACTGGTTGCAAAAGCCCTCAATTATCTCTGTGATGATGTGTAAGAATAACAGAGGAAGTACCACCATGCAGCAAGCTCATTTTGCTCCAAGGTTTTCACAGGGATGTAGCCACACGGGGATGGAGTAGCCAAGCGGCCGACCTTAGCTTCTGTCTTCGGGCGACCCAGAGGTCACACTGATGGGATGTGCCCAAGGCACCCACCAGAGGTCACATCCTTAACACAGACTATGCGGCAGGGCTCAAGGCCCAGGTACCCAGGGCACTCAGCAGGCAGGGCATTCCAAGTGCTTACTGGCCACCTCCCACGAGCGTCAGGAATCCGTTTTTTTTCTTTGCAATGGGTGGGGTTTGAGCACTTCAACCTGCTGGGTTAATCCTTTACTGAGCGATGTAAAAGTGCCCGATATACAGATCAAGTAAAACAAAATTAGTCGTGTGAAACGCCCTAGTCGATCACATAAACCCGATATTTAATTTAATATGATTCACTGAATCGAATCGAGATCCTTCAAGGGGTGCCTGGCTGGCTTGAGCGGTAGAGCGCACGTCCAGCTCTTGATCTTGGGGTCGTGAGTTTGAGCCCCACGTCGGGTATAGAGATTGCTTACGTAAATAAACCTAAAAAAAAAAAAAGATCCTTCACGTCCACATTCCCAGTTAATGATGTGTGACGAGCTTGAGGGAAGGTCCACCCTCTGAAAGGATCGCGCTCTCAGCGTGAACAATTTGCAAGGAGGTGACCTCAGCCTGTCTGAGTTCAAGGATTTGGCAGCACCTTAAAATATTTGCATACTAGTAAAATCAGGGGAGTCTGTATGCTCATCACGGGCCGTGTGTGTAACGATGAACCCCCTGGGCGAAACGGTGAGCACGCACCCCAGCCAAACAGAAGCACACTCTGCTGTCCTCAGTATCCCCTAACCGGCAACTGACATTTGCCTCGAATGCAGATAACTCTCTCACCCGTGATTGCTTTCCCGTGAGTGAATTTTGAGGGTCTCGATTTGAGCTTTCAAAGCAAAAGAAAGAAGCAGGAGAGAAAAGTGAGCCTCCCCATTTACAAGCCGAGGAAAGCGGAGACCATTCTGGGCCCCCGGCGGCCCCAAGGGTGTGATTACAACTCAAGACGAGGCCGCTTTGTCCTGTGATGATCAGAAGGCTGGGGATGCCCCTTGCCCCAGTGAGGAGTTCTGCCTCCCAGGAACCCCCCCGACCGGCCCGCCACCGTGAGACAGGAAGCTGGCCCCACAGGCAGACAGAGCCTTGTCACTGTGGCAATTCCGACATTGGTGTCCGAGGACCGGCATGCTGGGCGTCACCAGGTGGCGGCAGCAGGTGCGGGCTCTGCGCACCGTAAAATCCTTTCTAACAAATCAGCTCGGTCCACCCTGCAAGCCCTCCGGGCCGGACGTACTCAGGTAGTGTGGACACGATTCCAGCCTGTCTGTCTGAGGCTCACTCCCTGCCCGTGGGCCCTTCTCATGACAACAGGAGGGAGACCTCGGGCTCCAAGAATAACTGGGTTTTTTTGTTTCCTTCTTATTAAAAAAAGTGGTTTGAACTGCACAAAAGCAGTTGGCGCTGCTCATTCCGCCGCACACGGCCGCTTTGTGACTCTCCATGGGGAACGTCTGTCGTGCCTAATCAGTTACGAGTGGCCTTCTGCCGAGCGACGGCTTGCTTTTTCCCTAATGGACACTGTGAACCGTGTAATTCATCACGTGTCTCCCTTTGCATCAGCCGCTGGAAAGCCGGAGCCGAATTTTCATCTCATCTCTAAAAATAGATAGGAAACGCCTTAGCACACTTTTGTAGACGTTGGGCTCTAGCTTACTTTTTTTTTTTTTTTTTACTGTTACTCGATTGTTTTATTATTTCTGTAGTGCTGTATTCTCCAGGTCTTCTGTCTGTCATTTAGAAACATTATTTGACCTTGAAAGAAAGCGTATTTTGCATTTTACCAGACTTAGTTTAATTAAATTAAAAAAAAAATAACAGTAACCATGAGTTCAAAGCAGCAGCTGGTGACAAAGCTCGGCAGGGACCCTTCCCTTGACCCCGGTGCTGCTCTGTCCACCCCCACGAGGGCCGGGGGTAGAGGCTGGCCTGGGCAGGGACGGAGGTTTGATGGAAGGTGCTCAGGGCATCCCTGTTGGCCAGCACACCTTCGGGGCTTAGACCGCAGACCTCTCCCTCCTTCTCCTCCTGCCAGCGTCAAATTCATCAACAAGATCCAGTATGTGCACAGCTTGGAAGATCTGGAGCAGCTCATCCCCATGGAACACGTGCAAATCCCAGAGTGCGTGCTTCAGTAAGTGTCCCGCATGCCGTGCGAGTGTCCCCCGCCCCCATCCCCCAC